AGTGGCTGTACCAGTCAGCATTCCCACCAACAGTGCACTAGGGTTCTCTTTTCTCAACAGCCTCACCAGCACTTGTTATTTGTTGGTTTGTAATCCAGGCAGTGAAAGACAAATACCATATGATCTCACTTATAAGTGACTTAATCAACAAAACAAATAAGCAAAATATAACCAGAGATGTGTAAATAAAGAACAAACTGACAGTAACCAGAGGAAGGGGTGAGGGGAATAACCGGGCAGGGAAGGGGAAGGGTCATCAAGGAACATGTATGAGGGACCCATGGACAAAGACAATGGGGTGGGAGGAGGATTGAATGTGGGAGGTGAGGGTGGGTAGGGCAGGGGAGAGTAATGGGGGAAAATGGGGACAACTGTAATTGCACAACAATAAAATTTTTACATTATGAAAAAACTCATTTTAAAAGATATGTAAAAAATAAAGTTTGAATTTTTTAAATAAAGAAAAATTTAAAAGATGGCAGTATAGATAAAGGTAGTCCTTGAATCTTTCCACAAGCACATCAAAATTACAGCTAAACCACAGAACAACCATCATCTAGACCCTCCTTAAGTTTAGCTGAACAAAAGTCCTACAACTAAGGGTGTAAAGAAGAAACTACAGCGAGACTGGTAGGAGGAGTGGAGATTTGAAACAGCTGGCCCCACACCCATGCGTGGCAAATCAGGAGGGATATATTTGCTTTGGAGGTCCCAACTGTGGAACAAGGGGTCACAGCCTGACACCATGCCCCCAAGCCAAGGGTTCTAGAGCCAGGAAGAGAAGTTTCCATAACTTCTGGCTGATAAAAACAGTGGGTATTGTGGCTGAGTGAGATGGAGGGAAGCTGGAGTCCCAGATGTTCCTCTTAAAGGGACCACACATAGGTTTTCCTGGACTCACTCACTCTGAGCTCTAGCACTGGGGCAGCATCACAAAGGCACCGAGGACATATGGGGAGAAACTAAATTGTCTGGTATCAGGGTAAGAGCAGGAGGGGCAGCTTTCTCCTATGAGTGCTAGCAGTGGCCATTGTTACTTTTCTGAGCCCTCCCCTAACAGAGCAGGCAGGTGGTTCTGAGTCTCTTGGTTAACATTATTTGTCCTGCCCTACTGATCCCCTGCACCTTGTAGGCCCACACAAGTCCTTTTCAGTAGCTGTTTAATACAGATGACCTGTATTGGCTCATGCTTCAGACTCCTAAAATCTCTCAAATAAGCAGTATCGGGCCTCAGTGTGCCCCATACCTCTTATACTAGCCCCATACCCAACATTAGCAGCAGCCAGCATTGGTTCCCAGTTTGGCCTCTCCCAGGCAGAGCAGAGTTGGCAGCTCACCTTCTACTGTACCTCCTGGGAGGCCCCAGAACCAGCACACCCAGTAGACAGCTTCAGACCACATTGAAACACCATTCGGCCACCTCCACAAGCAACACAAGGGACAAACACAGCAGCACCAGAGCCCTGCTGAAGAAAGTCCTGCTCTGTGAGATGGGGCCCTGCATACCTAATCCTCCATGGTGGCCACAGTCCTTGAAGCCAATTGGCCTAGAGAAAAATCTCTCTTATTGATGTGCCAACAGTAGTCAGCAAGGCACAACTAAAACAGGGTGTACACAGCCCACACAAGGAGAATGCTCAACTCGGGTGATCAGGGAGGCTGTTCCATTAAGCCCTACAGGACACCTACTATATAAAGTCATTCTACTAAGCCTGGGAGATGTAGCAGCTCTACCAAATACATAGAAACAAACACAAAGAGACTGCCAAAATAAGGAGACAAAGGAACATGTCCCAAATGAAAGAATGACAAAACTCCAGGAAAAAACCTAAACAAAATGTAGATAAGCAGTCTACCAGATGCAGAGTTCAAAGCACAAGATGTTCAATGGTATCAGTGAAAACTTCAACAAAGAGATAGGAAATATAAAAACAGAGATAAAAAACATAAAAAAGAACCAGTTAGAGATGAATACATTAACTGAAATGAAGAATATGTTACAGGAAATCAACAGTGCAGTAGATGAAGAAGAGGATCAAATCAGAGATATGGAAGATAGGAAGCAGAAAACACCCAGTCAGAGCAGGAAAAAGAAAAAAAAGAATTTAAAAAATTAGGATAAAGTTAGTATAAGGAGCCTGTGGGACAACTACAAGCATACCAACATTTCCATAATGGGGATGGTAGAGGGGAAAAGAGAGAGCAGCGATTTGAAAACCTATGTGAGAAAGTAATGACAGAAAACTTCTCTAACTTCATGAAGGAAACAAACACAAGTCCAGGAGGCATGGTGTTCCAAACTAGATGAACCCAAAGAAACACACCAAGACACATAATTAAGACGCTAATGGTTAAATCAAAAGAGAATCTTTTTAAAACTATTTTATTTATTTATTTTCAGAGAGAGGGGAAGGAAAGGAGAGAGGGAGAGAAACATCAGTGTGTGGTTGCCTCTCTTGTGTCCCCCAGTGGGAACTGGCCTGCAACCCAGGCATATGCCCTGACTGGGAATTGAACCTCCATCCTTTGCTTCACAAGCCCATGCTCAATTCACTGAGTTACACCAGCCAGGACAAAAATCAAAAGAGAATCTTTTAAAAGATTGTCTTTTAAAAGATTATCTTTTAAAAGCAGCAAGATAATTATCTACAAGAAACTTCCCATAAAACTTATCAACTGATTTCTCAAAAGAAAGCTTGCAGGCCAGAAGGAATTGGCAAGAAATATTCAAAGTGATGAAAAGCAAGAACATACAACCAAGATTACTCTTCCCAGGAAATCTGTCATTTAGAATTGAAGGTCAGATAGCTTGCCACCCAAGTAAAAGATAAAGGAGTTCACCACTGAAAAATCAGTACAAAAAATGTTACAGGGTCTTCAGAAAAAGAGGAAGAGGAGGAAGAAGTAGAAGAGGAGGAGGAGGAGAAAGACATTAAATATATGAATCATAAAATGGTCATAAATACATATCTATCAACTATTACTTTAAATGCAAATGCACTAAATGCTCCTATCAAAAGACGTTGGAAGCTGAATGGATAAGAAAACAAGACCCTTACATATGCTGCCTACAAGAGAGTCACTGCAGATCAAAAGACTGAAGGTAAAGGGATAGAAAAATATGTTTCATAAAAATGGAAAAAAACAATTGAAAAACGGGTAGTAGTGCTTATACTAGACAAAATAGACCTTAAAACAAAGACTATAACAAGACAAAGGACTCAGCAATTCCAATTCTGAGTATCGAAAGAAACCCAAAACACTAAACTGAAGACAAATATTGTACATCCATGTGCTTATTGCAGCATTATTTATAATAGCCAAAATATGAAAGCAACCTAAGTGCCCATCAATAGATGATGAAGAAGTCACACATATAATGTGTCCATCAGTAGATGATAAAGAAGTGGCACATATAATGGGTGGGGCAAAAGTAGATTTACAGTTGTGAGTACATGAAACAGTGTTTATTCTGGTATTATTTATTATTGTATTATTTCCCATATGAACAACTATAAATCTGCTTATGCCCCATCCTGTATATGATGGAATATGCCCTAAAAAAGAATGAAATCTTGCCATCATCAACAACATGGATAGACCTAGAGAAGGGTTGTCAAACTCATTTAGGGCATATAATGGAATATGCCCTAAAAAAGAATGAAATCTTGCCATCATCAACAACATGGATAGACCTAGAGAAGGGGTATCAAACTCATTTCACCGGGGGCATATCAGCCTCGCAGTTGCCTTCAAATGGCCAAATGTAATTTTAGGACTGTGTAAATGTAACTACTCCTTAACAGTTAAATGAGAGCTGGGTGCTGCTCAGGCCTTAGGTTTGCCACCTGTGACTGAGAGGGTATTCCACTGAGTGAAATAAGACGGAGGAAGACAAATGCCGTATGATTTTACTTATGTGTGTAATCTAAAAAACAATGAGTGAACAAACAAAACTGAAACACACTCATAGATACAGAGAACATTTTGATAGTTAGCAGATGGGAGGGGATCTTGAGGGAAGGATGAAAAGTGAGGAGATTAAGAAGTGAAAGGATTAATAGGAAGGACACAAGGATGAGAACTAAGGGGGGTGGAAATGGGAGGGAGGTGGGGAGCAAGGGGCGGGGGAGGCTGGGATGGGAAAAATAGACAAAAAACTGTACTTGAAAAATAACTAAATAAAATTTTTTTAAAAAAGTGAAAGGATTAACAACTGAGCTAGTGTGGCACCATTAGTCGAAGCGTTGTCCCATAAACCAGAAGGTCACCAGTTCTTCCTGGTCAGGCCACATACCTGGCTTGTGGGTTTGGTCCCCAGTCGAGGCACATACAAGAAGCAACTGATTGATGTTTCTGTCTCACATTGATGTTTCTCTCACTCTCCTTCCCTTCCCCCTCAATAAGCATGTCCTTAAGTGAGGATTTTTTTTAATGCAGTATGAATTGGTAGTTAAAGAATAATCCCTTAAATGTTAAGTACAGCATGTGGAATGTAGTCAGTATATTTTAATAACTATATATGGTCAGATGGGTACTAGTCAGGGTGATTGTCTAGTAAGTTATATAAATGTGTAATCACTGGGTTGTACACCTGAAACTAATATAATACTGTATGTCTGTATAATACTGTAATTGAAAATTTCTTTAAATTATTTAAGGTAAAAAAATTATTTAACTCTTATCTAAACTAAATTTCAAATAAACCCTTATTATTTTAAAGGCATATATGCTTAAAATATTTCTATTTTCAAATTAACTGTTAGAAATATGTTTTTAAATAACAACTAGAAATTCTCTAAGCAGAATTACTCTGAGATTTTTGTGAGTAAAAGTTTTGGTTGAATAAGGCTGTGCAAATGAAACAATTTAGAAGGGAAAAGTACATAATTAAAGATTGAATTATATAGAATGCTGTGAAATAGTTTGGTGTAAACTCTATGTAATAAGATGGAAGTAATCTTGAAATTCTAATATGCTTTGTTTTTTCCTTTTTGCAGAGTGTATATAAATGCGACTTCCTGAACTTGCAGCTTCAGCAACCACTCCAACTTGCACAGGATGCTATAGATGCCTTTTTGAAGCAGCTGAAAAACCCCATTGATTCTCTTCCTGGAGAACTTTTTCATGTGGTTGTTTTCTCTCTCCTTCTTTCTTATTTTCCATCACCTTACCAGAGATGGATTTGCTGCAAGAAAGCCCATGAATTGTTAGTGTTAAATGGTTTATTGCTTATCATCACACCTGATTCCTCCCATCAGAATCGTCATGCAATGATGATGAAAAGCTGGAAGATTGCTATAGAGTCCCTGGGCTTTAAACGTTTCAAGTATTCAAAATTTTCACACATGCATCTGATGGCATTTAGAAAAATATCCTTAAAAACTACAAGTGACTTGGTTAGTAGAAACTACCCAGGGATGTTATATATTCCTCAAGATTTCAATAGTATAGAAGAGGAGGAATACTCTAACCCTTCCTGCTATGTTCGATCAGATATGGAAGATGAACAACTGGCATATGGTTTTACAGAGCTCCCTGATGCTCCATATGACTCAGATTCTGGAGAAAGTCAAGCCAGCTCTGTTCCTTTCTATGAGCTAGAAGATCCCATATTACTTTTAAGTTAATATAAAAGCAAAGGCCCTTTCAGTCCAAACTCCTAAACTAATTACTTAACACTAATCAGAAATACTACCGTGAACTCAGTACGATTTGCATAGAAGAAATGCAAAGGTTGACAGAGTTTGCTATTTTTTTCTATTTCTGAATTTTAAAATGTATTCTTATATAGAAAGGTTCAAGTATCATGCAGACTGACCTTTGTCATAGCAGAAACCACTGTTTCATTAGCATTTAACACTCAGATACCATTGAGAGATACCTTTATGTCTTTAGTGTCATTGTAAAAAATGAAGCATAATTAGCTATGTATTTTTTCCTCTTTTCAATGTTGACTTTAAACCATTGCAGTGAGAAACTAAGATATGTAAAAGCTGTAGATTGTATTTTGATGGTTAACAAGTTAAACGTATCACAAAGATAGATTGGTTGAGTTGTTTTGTGATATACTTACTCTTTTCTAACTAAAGTGTTATCGTTTACAGAAAGCCATTTTCTGTTTAGTTTTGTCTGATGATCCAACATTTCCTGAACTTTTTTGAAACTAATGGTAGTTTTTTTCTTTGTTCTTGTTTATTTGGCAACATCAGACATTGGGGGAGAGACTTCCCCAAACGTGTATAATATAATTTGATTAGCACAGTGCAAAAATCACCATTGCCAAAGTATTCAATAGAATTTGTATGTCTTTCTTGTGGATTGGGCTTTGGTGTTGAATATATTTAACTATGGGAGTGTACTTTATTAAATTTAGAATTTATTTACAAGTTTTTCTCTTTAAGCAAGGAACAATATAATATTTGATATTGACCTAAAACACCTTTGTAAAAGTGTTTGCACTTGTAAAAGAGCTTATATTTTATCTAGGTCAACTGTTGTAATGGGTCCTTGCCTTTCCATTAGGAAGATGCTGCACTACAAATGTAAAATTGTATAGAAAAAAGTTAAAATTAACCCTCTGCTGGTAGTCTCATAAAATGATTTTGAGCTTTTGGTATTCTTCTATCTAAATCCTAGGTACAGATTTTTTTTGAAAATATAAATCATTAGTTGACTGCTGGAATTTTCCCTTTCCACATTGATAAATATCTTTCTGTTTCTGAATCAGAAACAAATGATTAAGGAGAAATATATGCCCAAACAAGACAAAATTGAGTTTAGATAGATAAGAAGATTTAGTCCATGGTGTCTTACCAGCCAGAAATTGTCATGTAAATTATCATTTTTAAGAGCGCCACTGTGTGGAATTTTTCAAGTTGTTTTTACATTAAAATTACCTCATACTGAGGTTTTTGCACTGAAATATCAGTTTCAGATTTTATGCTTAATGTACCTGTGTGTGTGTTTAAAGGAAGTATTTTCAATAGTTGATCCTAAATTTCATAAACTCTGCTAAAACTGATGTTTTGTGCTTAGTGTGAATTGCTGTAGTTAACTCAGAATGTCAGAATTTATTTGGAAATACAAAACATATCCTTTAAGATATAAATGTTTGAGTGTACCTGATATTTCAAATTAAATTTCACATTCTGAATCAATGAAAGTAGTAAGATTGTAATTAACCTGAAAAGGTCAGTTAACTAAGTGCAATAAATATTAGTTGTTCAAATATGCCAGAAGTAACTTGAAATTTTTCTTTTACTTTCAATAGCATAAGATTCTTATATAAGATCGACTTTTCTTTACAATTATGCACTGCAGGTCAAGTTTTTCAGCTCACCCAAAAGAAGAAGAAAACAGCATTGTGTTCAGGATAACAAAAAAATGTATTCAAATAATACTTATTTTACCATACTGTTTTCTTTTTTACTTGACTAAATACTATCTTAAGGGCACAGGAAAAAATATACCAATGAAAGTGCTTTGAAAGTAAATGAAAACTATGATTTGAGAAGCTGTTGTAAGTACTACCTTGGAGTCACCCTTTGTGTTATGGCTAAATGTCGGTGCTATAAATTCTTCTGGTTGTTTACAGATGTTGATTCTGCTTATGCTCCAAAGTGTGCATGATGTATTTTAAGTAGTTTACAGAAAATTTAAAACCTATACTCCCACCTAGTATAAATTTGTTTGGATTTATAAATATCATTTGTTTTGTAAGTTCAGCTTATTCACATTAGGTTGGCACAGGATTTAAACTAATATACATTCTACCAAAGCCAATTCAGTGAATTAGTTTTAAAAATAAGTAGTCATCTGGCATGGTGTCAGATTATATATGTAATGACAAGAAAAGTTAGTAGAGCCTTCTAATACTTTATTAGTATGGGTACTCTTGAGAATGATTTCATTTGGATATAGAGAAGTTAAAGGGCCTGCTGTTGCATTCACAACAGAATTCTCCAAAATGATTTGGTGTTTCAAAAACAAATGATCATTTGGTTGGATTCTTCAAAATCAAATGGTTTATATGTTAGTTGCCAAGTGGTGGGAGGTGGCATACCTAAAAATGTATGTTTGTGTTTTTTGTATTTTTTCATATTTTGTGAACAAAGCATATTCATTAAAAATTTTAAATTTTCAATATTCATTGTCTGTTACTTGCAAACTGAAAGTTTTGTGGTCTTTGAACTATCTCACTAAGTGACTTCAAAATGGGGAGGTAATTTAGAACTTGAATGACTCAGGATTTTCTACTGGGTTCATCCAATCATTGTACTCAACCTATCATACTCTACTTTCCTTGAAAGTAGGGATAACTACATTAGAGATAATTTAGGAAGCCAGCAAGAAACAATCATAGTTTCCAAATTGTCACAGGCCTTTTCACTAAGAATCCGAAAGATAATATGTTTCTCAGGTCCAGGAATGGATAAAACATTCCCTGGAAATAAAGAAGATGGGTGATTGCTGGAAAGAAGAGGTAAGCAGGCCAAATCCCTGGAGACTGTCTGCAAGAAAAAAAGATGCTTAGGAAACAGACCTGAAAGAGAAAGAGGAGCTAAATGCCTTGACTGTAATAGAAGCTCTATGTTTTCTAACACCACTGAAACATTAGCACAGATTAAAGTACCACAGTACACGTTACTCTGAAAACAGAGACCTGGGAGTTTGAAAGTAAGAAAATAACATTTTGATAGCAAAGAAAGGCGATGATCTGGAACTTGTGTAACCAGAAAAATTATCAAGTTAGGAAGGACTCTGGTGGCATGGAGAATGGTGCCAATTGAAATAAGGAGCTACAGATTAAGTGCTAGGATATCACAAACCATCTCTTTAGTCGTGCTTGATTTATTAATTGAGGATTAATTATTTTACTATTACATTGGACTAGGTACTATAAGGAATAAATACTGTCCTCAGGGCTGACAATGTAACCAAAAAAAACAGCATTATCACAAGGCAACAAAAACTTTAACATTGCAGAACAGCATATTCTTGCACTATAGTATTTGGTGATACATATCAGTGAATTCTGTTCACATGACTGTAGGGAACTGCTTCAAGAGATGTGGAAATGTAGCCCAGCATTCACGTGGAAAACCAGTGGGGGGTGAGTTGGCACACAGGACCACGCACATGAAGAAGTTTCCCCGTGGGAAATCAGGCCTGTATTATACTTAGGCTGCTTAATGACTTACTCTTGCTAAAATTCTCTCACCCTGAGTTCAGGCAGAAAGCCCTTGCTGCACATCTTTAAAGTAACTTCCTGAAGTCTGTGCTAATTCTCCCAAGGACTGAAGTGTAACCAGACCTGTTACTCTTATCCCTTGCATTTGCAACATTTTTTCCTTGTTAATCTATAAGAAGTAATCTGTAGCATCCCTTCCTTGCTATCTGTAAAAAGTAATTGCCTAAAGCAAACTTAAGTATAATGAATGAAAACCTTCTTTGATGTATGCTATTAGAAAGCCAATAAAAGCTTGGCAAGGCACAGATCGGCATGCTGTCCCCTTGAGAGAGTAACCGTGCCATCTCTTTTCCTCCACAGGACTCAGTAGTCCATGTGAATGTCTCATCTCTTCGAAAACACCTCAGACACTGCGGGCCAGTGTCACATGACACTTCGGCACATGCTCATATCCAATCTAGACACAATTTACTTAAATATATGTATCCCTCATGGAAGTGTCTAGATGATGTGCTAATTCACCCATGTCAATCCTCACTCCTTCCTACACCTTCTATGTTAATATACCTGGGGTGAAGGGGGACAAGCCTGTGCTCACCTTTACCCTAACTAGTCTCTCTGCCTGGAATTTCTTCCTTTTATACTGGATTTTCATGGCTAGTTTATTTCTGTTACTCAGATCTTAGCTTACATGTTACCTCCTTAGGAGGACCTTCCCAGTCCACATAATCTCAAGCAGTCTCTTCACAATAACTGTAAAGTCTCTGAATAAGTCTAATTATCCAAAGTTTATATTTTTCTCTGTGTGTGTGTGTGTGTTGTACAGGCCAGGCCTTTATCTGTCTACTTCTGTGCTTTCTCAGAAGTAGAACTCATTTCTTCTGTGAGTTTCAGTGAGTTCATTTGTTGAAATGAACTCATTTCAACAAATGAGTTCATTTTACTAAAGGGTGATGACACAGGACCACTGCTGATACTTACTTTATGAATTTTGGGGGATGGTCTGGTTTTGTTTTATATAATTAGTTTATAAATATATTCTCAGATTTGGAATATTGTTCAATTTATACTTCAGAAAAGTCTCAATTGGTAGAAAATGTAGCTTAGATCAATGCTAAGTGACGAGCTACATAACTTTTTTCTCTCCTCTGCTTACCCCTACCCATTTAAATTTTTTATATCTTAATCTGAGATCCTACTTTTTTGTTGTTGATTTTTTATTGATGTTCAAGTATAGTTGTCTCCATTTCCCCACACACAACTACCCCCTGCCCTATCCATCCCCACCTCCCACTCTCAATCCTACCCCACTTTGGCTTTCTCCATGTGTCCTTTATATAATGTTCCTTGATGACCCATCCCCTATTTTCTCCCATTAACCTTCTCCCCTCTGGTTATGTCAGTTTTTTCTTTATTTCAATATCTGATTATATTTTGCTTTCCTGTTTGTTGTTGTTGTTGTTGTTGTTATTGTTAATTAGGTTCCACTTAAAGGTGAGATCATATGGTATTTGTCTTTCACCACCTGGCTTATTTCACTTAGCATAATGCTTTCCAGATCCTACTTTCTCACATGTCTTTCAATACTATCAAATGCCTACCTCCCTCTCATTGGATTAAAGAATTTAAGTTTGTAAACCATCAATAACATTACAATTGAATACATTTTTAAAAGAAAGATTTAGCTCATTAAAGTGCTCCAGCAGTCTTTTAATTTGTGTAAGGGATACATTCATTACTCCAACTACTTTCCACTGGCTTTATATCCACATAGGTTTTCACCAGTAAACACTATGAAATCTTGAGCAAATAGTCACATAGTAGGTATACAACACATGCTGACTGTTATTTATTATAGCAAATCCTCTAATAACCCTGTTCCTTTTTTCTTTCAGTCTTGCATGTTCTGTGCCCTCCATGCACATTGAACATTTCAGCCCCACCATTACCACCGAATTCAATATCTTTGATCTACCTACAGCAAAGCTAAGTAAGTTAGTGAGTGTTAAATTTTCTTATCTTCCATCTTATTTCTTATGAATTTTCAGGAATTAATGTAAAAGCCAGTTCATTGTAACCTACTTTGCTAGATTCCAGTGGAAACTAGAAAACAAGTCTCAACACAAGATTGTCTTATCTCTTTAAAATATGAATTCATAAAGACAGGTAACCACTTCTTTAGTATGTTAGATCCAACTATCTAATTATTAGGCATGAAGGATTTTCCACAAATATGAACCAGGATATTTCATTATTGTTTATGGCCAAGTAATATTCTATTGTGTAGTATATGTACCATAGCTTTTTTATCCACTTTTCTATTCATGGCACTTGGATTGCATTCATATCATGGCTATTGTATATAATGTTGCAGTGAATATAGGAATGCATGTATTTATAGGGTATTATGCAAAGTGAAATAAGTCAAAGATAACCAGTGTAACCAAACATAGGCCTGGCTGCCTGCAACAATAAAAGCCAAACTCATGAGACAGTGGTGATGAAAAAGGTAAGAGGTTTATTTCAGGTGCTGGCAAGCTAAAACATGGGGGACTTATCTCCTGAAGACCATTGTAATTTCTGGTCTAGCCAGTATTTTACTCTGGTTCATTTGCAAACATGTTACGTCTTCAAAAGATCCATGGCAAAAACTCTGATTTATTCCAAATTACACATCTCTGAGAATAAAACATCAGATCAGCCTCAGCTGGTATGGCTCAGTGGATTGAGCACCAGCCTACAAATCAAAATGTCACCAGTTTGATTCTCAGTCAGGGCACATGCCTGGGTTGCAGGCCAGGTCTCTAGTAGGGGGATATGCAAGAGGCAACCACACATTGATGTTTTTCTCTCTCTCCTTGCCTTTCCCTCTCAAATAAATAAATAAACAAACAAACTTCAGATTATACCTTTGAACTGGATAAAGATTACTAGAACTCTTTGAAATAACTGAGTTTATGAAAAGCCTGGCAAACAGGATAAACAAAAATTGATTGCAGGACTGAGTGAACTGAAGACAATTATAATTTTATAACTTTTGGTATAAATTTGTAAGTTTTTGTTAGAGATTTATAACTTTTTAATAGATAAAACTTTTGTTATAATGCAGTTAACAAAGGAATTTGTTTTCCTGAAACAACATTTTAAGATAATAATTAGAAATACAAGTAAAAATCTATTAGAACATTGTAGACTTTTGGAGATTTTTATATAATTTTGGAACATAGTTACTATTTCTTTATTTGATAAGGCTTCCTGTGTACTTTAAGCATATCAAATAGGCCTAATTAGTTCAAAATTTCTCCTCCATAAGGAGAGAGAACAAATCCTTGAGGTATACGAGGGGCCCATTGTAATGACTCAAAGCCAATTCTAAGTGAAGAAAAAACCTTTTAAAAATTTAATTCTGAGGAGATTGTCAAACATACCTGACCAAAAGATTACATGTTATTATGAAGTAATATTAAAGTATTTATTTACCCAAAGTGACATTAAAAGATATCAAACACAAACACAGGCTAGCAATACTTTTTAGTTCTTAGGATTAAGAAAGTGGGTTTTTAAGTAATCGAGTACCTGCTTAACATAATATAATATATAACTTTTTTAATAGAATTTTTGCTTTTGGGCACATGTAGAAAAACATTCTCTCCCTTTTTAATAGACTGAGAAAGAACCGAACAAATTCTGCATTAGCTCACTTTTAATCTGAGTTCATTTACTTAATTTTCACAAACCTTTCCACAACTTTTTTTTTTTTAGTTTGCTTTTCCTTATACGGTCAGAAATAAGGCTTAGAACAACTCACTTTCTTCCCTTTTTTTAGTATCTCCATACTTTATACCTGCTATTATCAAAAGCACCTAATCTCTTTCCAGTTTAATTAGAATTCTTAATTCTCAAAAACCTTGAAGTTTTTCTTACAACTAAAAGTAAGTAATTAACATTATCTG